ATAGATAGATAGATAGATAGATAGATAGATAGATAGATAGATAGATAATGAAACAATAAAAAGACAGACTTCAAGTTATAAAATACAGTTGTTGCTAATTAATGCTCATTTACTTACTTAATTAAAAAACGTATTAATATATATTTAGAATACAAATGTATCGCTTGGTACAACCCAAGGTATAAAATAATTAATCATTGCTTTGGAATACATTTTATATTTATTTTAATAAAATTATTTTCATCAACAGAGTCGTGCTTTAAATATTTTTATTTATTTCACTCAAAAATCCTGAAGTAAAAACTTCATGGAGAAATTTGTTGTCATTATTGTTGTCTTTTGTATATTAAATATGTAAATATTTCAGCTGTGTGCTATACATTTTTATTGTCTATATTTATTTAGGTAAACCCCAATGAATCATTAAACATGGTGACAAACTTATAAAAAATAATAACACACTTAGGTAAATAATAATCCATAAAATGTGTCATAAATTACTTCCTTTGCGTTCAGAAAACGTCTTCAACTCCTGTATGTTTAACAATATGGATGGGTTAGTTTATTTAAGTTTATTTAGATTTTATACATTTAAAATGCTGACAAAATCACATTTAAGCCTTCTTTGTGCTGATTTTATTGCTTTATTTTTCAGTAATTAAACAGGCCTTTATAATATCTAAACTTTAACCTTTAAACCCACCTATAGGAGGACTAAAGAAGAAAAATTCACGACATTACAGGTCACAGGAATTAAAGAGTTTTATTTTATACATCAGTAAAGTTTAAAAAGGTGTTGAAACATTGCAACAGTTTTTCTTTGTATCTGAGCTACATTTCAACCTAAACCTCCTCCTTCTCCTGTTCCTTGTGACTGATGGAGTTTGTCCCAGCTTCGTCAGGCTCATCGTCCTCGTCCGGGTCGGTCAAGACGTCCATCAGATGAGGGAGGCTGCCACTGCGCAGGAGGCCGTCGAGTCCGTCCCCCTGACAGCCCCGCAGAGGTAAATACTGAGTGTTTACAGGTTCGCCTGTCGGACGGTGGAGCTCAAGATCTTCAGCACTCAACCTGCAGATGTGGCAATAAATAAATACATTTATACCCTGAAAAGTTTTCATTATTATTTCAGTTTAATGGGTGAATTGTAACGAAAGTGTGGAAAACAACACGAAATGTTCCCTTTAACAGTTACACGACTGATTCATCACTAGATTATTGCTTTATTGGGTAAAAAGTGAATCAGACTATTGAATTCATTGAGGCAAAATTATTAAAGTGAGAAAATACTCTAAGATAAATGTTCAAAGCTGTTGGTTGACCTCATGTCAAAGGCGGAGCCTTTAAAGGCCGGTCTGAGGGCCTCTGCTGCCGACGACTGAGTGTACGGGATGGAGAAGTGGCTCTGGGTCCAGTGCTTGTCCTTCACAATGGGAGCCAGGTTCTGGTACATGTCGTCCACGGCCAGCATGGACACCTGGAACAGACGGGAGCAGAGTCAGTCCTGGTTTCAGGTCTTCACGTCGGCTGGATCAGACTGAAGCTTCGAGGGAAAGACCTGCATGTTCCGGTCGATCAGCTGGTTGGTTTCAAAGTCGTCGTCGTCTTCACCAAACGGGTTAATAATCAGCTCGCCCACCTGCAGAGCAGAAACAGGAAGTGCTTCGTTCTGGAGTAAATCATTTTATTGTTGTAGCTCCATTCATTTTTTTTTTTTAACTCTGTAAACCTAAAGACAAATAACCACAGGATGAAGAAGATAAATCAAGACTTTGAGTCACAAACTTAGTTTTAAGTCATTTGTTTTATTTTGATATTATAAGTGAAAAAATATTTGAATGACAAACAACACCTCTAATTTAATCTTATGACATTTAAGTCTCTAAAGTCTAATTCAATAAAATTTTTGTGAAACTAATCTAGAAACAGCTCCGGCACGGTGACTTCACATCCCAAAATCTGAACGTTTCGCCTCTCGACAGTAAGTTTACTTTGTTCAAACAGAGTAACAAAAAGCTAAAAATGCATACCACGAGATAAAAGCTAAAAGAAGAAAAATGCTAGCTAAACATATTCATATGCTAGCTTAATCTACCAAAACACCAGCTAAAAACAGCAAAAAACTACAAGGAGCATATTTGTAGCTACAAGAAGCAAAATGTCAGTCTTAAGGTAAAAGTAGAAAAATGCTAATTAAAACTGATAAAACTTCAGCTACAAGTAGAATAGCAAAATGACTGCTAAATAATTAAAATGCTAGCTAAAGCTGTTAAATGTTACCTGAAAATTTAGCCTAATGCTAAAAGTAGCAAAGGCTTAGTGAAATCAACATAAATTTAGTTAAAAGCTAAAATAATCAAAGGTTTGTTATAAGGCAAAAGTAGCAGGACAAAAAGTAGCAAAAGGTTAGCTACAACTTCAAAGTAACAGAACGGTAGCTAGAAGCTAATAGTGGCTAAAGTGTAAAATGATAGCTAAATGATGCTAAATGTATCAAAAATAAAAAAAGATGTGTGTGAATGTATATGGATATTTGTGGACCTGTGTGGACCTGTGAGGACCTGTGTGGACCTGTGTGGACCTGTGAGGACCTGTGTGGACCTGTGTGGACCTGTGTGGACCTGCGAGGACCTGTGTGGACCTGCGAGGACTTGCGAGGACCTGTGTGGTCCTGTGAGGACCTGTGAGGACCTGTGTGGTCCTGTGAGGACCTGTGAGGACCTGTGCGGTGTCACCTTCAGCCAGCCGGTGTAGAAGAAGAACTGCAGCAGGGTGAAGACAGGGACGTACATGTCCACCTTGTGTCCACTGTAGCCCTTCTCCGGGTTCAGGAACTGTCGTCCGATCACACAGAAGGCGAAAAAAGAGTAAACTGCGATCGTTACCACCTGATCAAATAAACCAGAGACCATCAATGAAAAACTGAACCAGGACCAGACCTCTGGTCTGAACATCACAGCTGTCAGAGGTGAACAGGTAGTTTATTGTTCTGCTATTTTTACTTTGACAGGATATTTTGCTAACAGACAGACACAGTTGACTCCAGTAGTTATTGGCTAAAGCCATTTTGAATCGAGTCGACTCCAAATGTTAATGAGTCGAACATCCAGAGGTTACTTCCTGAAAGTTTCTTTAAAATCCATTTGGTGGTCCGAGAGATATTTTACTAACAGACAAACAAACATTAAAGAATAAATCTTGAAGCACTACTGAAGTGCTGTCGGGCCAGTACCTGCGTGTAGACCAGAGGGATGCTGATCCAGTCGTAGTGGAACAGCAGGCTGCACTTGGCTCTGTAGTTGTTCAGCTCCTGGACAGGAAACACGTCAGGTCTGGTTGGGTAAACAATAAACAGATGTTTGTGTTTTCGCTTGTTGTTGTTTATTCTCACGTCCATCAGCAGCCTCAGGGCGATGTCGTCCCTCACCCGGCCCTCCTCTCGGGCCCTGGACGCCAGGTTGGAGAACCAGGTCAGGGGCATCCAGTACTTGTTGAAGTCCGAGTGCAGAGACTCGAACTTCTTCAGCTCGAGCGGCGTCATGAACCCTGCGCAGACGTGACTGAACCTTTAACGCCTTGAACTGTTTGAACCCCTTTTAAAAATATATATTCAAATCATAAATAAACAACAAGTCGCTAAATCTCACTCCTGTTGTCATCACGAGAGTAGATTGTTGTATTTCATCAAACCTGAGCTCAACTGATTATTAACGACCTTCGACCAAAATCCAACAAACTTTAGGTTTATACAGTATAAAAAAATAAATAATCACAAATCAGAATCTTAAACAATCCAGAAAAAATGGCTTTAACTTTCAAGGGAAAAGAGTTTTAACTGTGAGTTCTGTCAAAATACAGTCAACTACAGGAAGTACTTTTACTGTTAAAGTACAGAGTAATCAACAACAGAATGTACTTTTACTGTCAAAGTACAGAGTAATCAACTACAGAATGTACTTTTATTGTCAAAGTACAGAGTAATCAACTACAGAAAGTTTAAATACTTCGAATAAAAGGCGGGTTCATGCTCTGCTCTACTGTCCTTACCAGCCTCCACAATGTGGTCCAGAGTTGGGAACCGTTTGAGGACCCGGGTGCTGATGGAGCGCAGGATCAGGACCGAGGATAAGTTGGCGTATCTCATGAGGGTCCGCCTCAGGAGGCGACCCGTCTCGTCAGACCCGTGGACGTTTCCTGAGACCACCATCATCAAGTTGTCGGGCAGCGGGAAGCTGGTGTACTGACCCCACCACCGGTTGAAGGCCAGAGTCACGTAAAAACCTGCAGGGAGACAACATACACTACACAAAGTACTTTTTACTATCAAAGTACAGTCTGACAGATAAATGACTGCTGAAGTTTACTGAATGCCAAAATGAACAGAATACAAGCTAAGCATTAAAAACATCTAACTGCTAGCTAAAAGTAACAAAACACCAGGTAAAAGTAGCAAAATGCTAACTACATGCAGCATACAAGTAGCTAAATGTAGCAAAATGCTAACTACATGCAGCATACAAGTAGCTAAAAGTAACAAAATACTAGCTAGAAACTAAAAGTAACAAAACACCAGCTAAAAGTAGCAAAATGCTAACTACATGCAGCATACAAGTAGCTAAAAGTAGCAAAATGCTAACTACATGCAGCATACAAGTAGCTAAAAGTAGCAAAATGCTAACTACATGCAGCATATAAGTAGCTAAAAGTAACAAAATGCTAACTACATGCAGCATACAAGTAGCTAAAAGTAGCAAAATGCTAACTACATGCAGCATATAAGTAGCTAAAAGTAACAAAATACTAGCTAGAAACTAAAAGTAACAAAACACCAGCGAAAAGTAGCAAAATGTCAACTACATGCAGCATACAAGTAGCTAAAAGTAGCAAAAGGTCAACTCAAAGCTAAAAGTAGCAAAACATAGCTAAAAGTAACAAAATACTAGCTACATGCAGCATACAAGTAGCTAAAAGTAGCAATAGGTCAACTCAAATCTAAAAGTAGCAATACACTAGCTAAAAGTAACAAAACATTAACCAAAAGTAGCAAAACATTAGCTA